CTTCTTCGTAGCACGAGATCTGGTGACCATTGATGTATTAGTAGACGCCTTCTTTACTTTACTTGCAGTGACCAAAGCTTGCAGGTCTTTGTTATTGAGATAACTAAAAATTTCATGAATACAACTACCAGGCAAATTATAAAACATTGATTTTACCGAACCATCAACATCTTGATCTAGAATTTTTTTTCTTTCGAAGCCTCGTTCCAGATTTTTGGTGATTAAATCACTGTAGATAGGAAACATGTAAGTGTATCTACTTGGTTTTGTGTCTCTAATAACACTTTTATTCAATAAATACTTAGCTAATTGATGCGTAGATTTCTTAAAAAGTTTATAAAATGTCATGTTAGTATTACCGATTCTACTTTCTTTCAACAATGTAGCTTCTTTTTCGCATTTTTCTTTAAATTCGACCAAATTAGATGCTCTCATCATTTGGGCGTTTGAACCATCAAACTCTTGAATATATTTATCGATTGCTTGTAGATTTTCCTCGCAAACATACACGTCGATATTATGTAATTTTAACATGTATTCAATAATTTCTCGTGCATTTTCACGAAACATTGACGAGGATCCTGAGTTTCGTTGAGCTTCCATAAGACTGTCTATCGCTGTTTTGTTTTCATAAGTCAACAGATTAATATCGATATTTTCTTCGAGTGTCTCCTCAATTGAGTAGTTAGATCTTTGTGCTATGAGATGCAAAGCAGTCTCACCATATTTATTTCTATCAGCAATATTAGCTCCAGATCTAATAAAGAAGTTAACAATAGAATAATTGTTAAAAGAAGCGCTAACCAAAAATGGCGTAAGCCCGGCTCTGTTGACAGCATGAATATTTGCTTTGTATTCCAACAACATCTTAATCGTTGATGGATAAAAACATTCCTTAGCAGCACAGTGAAGCGGAGTATTCAAGTCTTGATCCTTAGCATCAATATTTGCTTTGTACTTAATTAACATTTCTATACATTGGTTTTCAAGTTTATCCAAGACTCCTCTGGAAACTGCTAAGTGAAGAGGAGTTTTACCACCAGAATTTTTAGCATCAACTTTAGCATTGTGTCTTAAAAGACATTCCATAACTTTGATTTTTCCCAACGTAGCTGCTATGTGTAATGGTGTATTCCCAGAGCTACTAACTACATTAACATTTGCTTTGAGCTTTAATAGCATTTCCATGATAACCGATGATTCATTGCCAGCTGCATAATCAAGATACGATGTTTTAACACTATCTTTAACATTTTTATCATGTTGCAACAGTGCTTCAACTACATCAAAATTTTCTTTTGCAATAGCATATTCAATAGGTTCTGAAGAGCAATTTAGTTTACTTATACTAGCTCCGGAAGCTATCAGAAAATTTACTATAGGTTTGAGACTTAAAGCAGCATTTAATGGAGTTTTATTAGCAATATGATGTAAAGGTGTTAAGTTTGAGAAATTATAACCATTGACATCGACACCTTTGCTAATTAAGAATTTAATTATTCCAAACCATCTGTTGAAGAGATCTATCTGATTTTGATCTACACCTTTACGATTGGCCTCATCAATGATTGAATGAATATTATCAATGATACAAAATAGTAAGCTACACTTTTTTCCGCCAAAACCTGTGTGTTCATAATTTTTAACTTTGTCAATCGTTGCTTCGACAGCCTCTATATTTCTGTGCTCACAAGCACTGATTAATACATCTTCATACTCATTAAGTTCAAGACCAATTTTTAAAAGCTCGCTGACAACAAGAGAGTATTTTCTTTTCAAAGCAGCGCAAATAAATTCAGATTTTTTAGCATTTTGTGGGTCGATTGGAAATTTAGCTTGCATTAGACTTTTAACTATTTTAGAAAATGAGCCTTCCCAGCGCATCACTGCTACCGTCAACAAGTTCTTGCTTCCTGGATCTTTAATGAATTCTGAAACTTGGCTGCTTTTAACTAACTTTTCAACTGTATCTGCATAACCGTTGTCAACGGCCACATAAAGCATTGATGTAAAATTTTCTTCAAATCTTCTTAGACTAGGTTTGCCACCGTTGCTCAACAATAGATTAAACAAATATTCATTGCCAGTGTAAGCAGCTGCATGAACCGGGATCATACTATTATCACAATTAATGTTCACGTCAACATCTTTTTGTAATAATAATTCAGCAATATCTTCACGGTCTAATTCAACAGCAAGGTAAAGAGGAGTTTTTCCATTAGTTCGACATTTAGTACTAGCACCACGACTTAACAGCATCTTAACTATCTCTAAGTCATCATTTTTTATAGCTAAATGCAAAGGAGACATCGTCGTTTTTTTAACTATTTGTCTGTTTACTTCGACGTCTTGTTGAAGTAAAAGTTTCGCTATGTTGGATTTTTTTTTTTGTAAAGAAAGTTGAAGTAATTCATACCCAGAGTTTGACTTGAGAGAGTTTGAGCCATTCTTGAGATCTAATTGATGCAATGCTTTAAGTAATTCTTTTGTTTTTTTTTCTTGCCAATTTTCAATAGCTTTTCTGATAGTTGATAAAATAGTTTCTGTACTCTCTCCTTCGACATCTGCCATCCTGAACACTGATTAGTGACTAGCAACCCTAAAAAAATGTCAATGTTTTTAGTCCTATATAATTATTAAACTTTTACAGATTACTTACCTGAACAAAACTGATGAAATATGTATGATAATTTTAGCAATAAATTGATAAAATAAATACCGAATGCAACATGAGACATCTGCTGGATATTTTTTATGAACACGCATGCGCTTAGCTTAGTTTCTTGTGTGCATCCTCGGGGTCATCTGAGTGATCCGAACGGAAATGTAGCCAATGTAATAATTGTAAAGGAATTCAAAAAGTAACTTGCTCTCTAACAAGTTATATACATTTAATACTTCATACATAACACTTAATATATGTCAAATAATAGTAAATTCTATATAATAAAATACACACATTAAAACATTTA